ATATTGAAAAAAGAAAAAGAAAAAAAATTCTATATTTACTAAAAATTACGTGATATTAAGGTAAATCTAAATTTATTATGGCAAGAGCGAAAATCTGATTAGTATTCTTGACGATATTTATGTTTACCTGTGATTTAAAAAGTCGCGGGCTTTGCCGCATGGCGAACACTATTTCCGGTGAAAAAATCAATATTTGCTATTCTTGTTGCGGGATGATAGGATTTTTTTCTTTTTTTTTTAATCTAATATTTTTTGTCACCTGTTTTAGAGCAGAGGCTACACATAATTCGGGTTGATAAATTTGTTTCATAGCAATTTTTGTTTACAAGTTTATTAACTGTTCTGAAATCTTCTACTTTGAATTGAGGAGGTCAAATAAATTTATTTAATGCTTTCCTTCTTTTTCCCATTCGGTTTGGTAGCAAGACAGAATGGCGATAAGAATTCACCGGTATCACTCCAACATTTAAAAATTGCACCAATGTCCAAGACCATTGCTACAGATTTTTTCAATAACTTTAAATCAACACCCGAAAATGTTTTTAAATATCGATGTGACTAATTAGGGTTTGCAAAAAATTTTGTTTGATACCTTAAAGCACAATCTTATAGCGTGTTACTTTCTGCCACGCAAAAATGTAATTTGCTAGGGATTGATCCCGGTTGCCCATTTTCTTTGATTTGTACAGATTGTCGGTTTTGCTCTCCCCCAGCAGGAAGTTTAAATATCTAGAGGAAAAATTATATGAAGAAGGCACCGGTGAGAGCCTAGTAGAGGTTGATGGTCTAGCTGATGATGGTAAGGCTGATGACGGTCCTGAATTACAGCTGTAGATGAAAAACCTATTCTTCAACTCATTACTGATTTTCTTTTAATTTTGTTTGTTTTTGACAGCTTAATATTAACTAATGGCGAGCCACTTCGTTTCGCCATTTTCACTCCCGAAAATAACCGCGCACGAACTCTGTTCACGTGATGGATACGAAAAACCGAATTAGTAAGCGGCGGTAGTGTTGTGCGATGGTCGGATTGCCGACAAAAAGTGTTTTGCTTTGAATGCGTATCGATGGATGTGATAAATAAGAAAATACAACCTAATCATATCGGATAACAAGCGAAGGAAAATTTTCGTGATGTTTCTATCTTTTTATTTTCATATGTTCCCAAGAAGCAGAATCTAATTGAGTCCTAATATTGGTTGACCCTACTAACGAAAATTCCGTACAATTGTGAATGTGGTTTTTAGAATTTCCATGTTTTTTTATTTTAAAACTTAAATGCTCGAGATCGGCGACCCCTATTTCCGTTCAAGCTTTATGACCACCAAAAAGTGAGCACGGAAAAGGGCATTTTTTTTGTTACATCCACAAATCCATTAATTTTTTGAGTACACGAAAATTGCTCATGCATCCATATACCTAAGACTTGTAGCAATGTAGCAGATTTGAAAGACTGAAGACCCATTAATACCTTGCTAGTACTATCCAAAGTATTATAACCAGTAATAAAGAGACAAGTAATCGAACACGAAATTGAAAGGAATAACGTTCTTCTATGCAAACTTGTCCTTCCGGAGTTCCACAGGGCTCCATATTATATACAATTTACCCAGCGTTTCTGGGCGACTATTTGAGTTTTCTCTCGATGCAAGTGTACGCAGATGACACTCATTTGTTTTTGTCATTTCCAGTCAACAAGTTAATAGAAAACTGCTATCTTATGACGCTATTTTTGAAGTTTCTAATGCTCACCTCTGCCTTAAAATTGCAGTAAGTGTGGCGCCAGCAAAAAGAATTTCAATATCATAAAGAATAGTCTGCTTAGTTTTTACATAAACAACACCAACTTGTGTAATGTAGCAGACAATCTGCGACTTTGGTTAGTTGATCTATGATTTGAAAAGTGTATTAAGAAATCAATTTTTAAATGTACATTGTATTGTATTGTATAACTCCGGTAATCCTGATCTTAGAAGGATGCTGTGGCGTATTCACATTCACGCTTTTAATTTCTGTGATATCGTATATGATCCTTGTCTAACCATAAATAAATATATATAAACTGGGTTAATATAAAATGCAGATGAAAATTGCACCATGCATGAATGTATCACATAATAATTTTACTTAAAAATCCACAATGCCCTTGTAGAAAGATAGAGTTTCCTACTGATATTTACAATTTAAACATAATATATAACGGAGTTATAATATAGTCTTAATATTCGGAATGGCACAGTCGATCATAAAATCAAGAGAGAAGGTGCCTCAATATTTTACCTGCTTCCACTCCATACTAAGAATGTCAAAACCCACCCATTTATCTACTAGTGTTCTACGATTGTCTATTACGCCCCAGTGCCGTACACTCCACAGAGATAGCACCAATCACCGGATAATTGCCGTAGTTCCACTCCAAACTAAGCAAAACTAACCAAAACAGAGTGGCATTTTTGAAAAACGGCTGCCGAAATTCAAAAGGCCGTCTTTGATTATAATAGATAATGCACGCTATTATTCTAGAGTCAGTAAAATTTTAAAGTGACTGTACAGTAAGCGGATTAATTACGCAGAAAGTAGTCTAAAATGTGAGTTGTTAAAAATTGTCTATAATTACAAAACAAACTTGCCGTATGCTACAGACGAAACAATTATTGAAATGGGCCATCAAATTTTAAGATTGCCTCCTTACCATTGTTTAGTTAATGCCATAGAATTGGTGTGGGCTCAGTGCAAAATATGCGATGTTGCGGTAGCATATGTTTGGAATGCATTATACAGTTACCAAGGAAATTTGGTTCTACCTATAACCTCTCGTTTCCGACACATTAAAGATTATGGAAATTACTCTTCTCCTTCCGTGCCTAGGCTAATAATCCGATTAGGTAGGTAATTAATGCGGTACCTATAAAGATGTTACTATAAAAACAACAAATTACTTTTGTAGTTATTCTAGGGGATATTGTAGTATGTTATTGCCTTAGTCATGCAAAACTGTCACGGATGAGGTCCACCGTGGAGGCTTTGTTTGGCTTAGCCTCTGTTATTGCCTTGGTGATGAAAAACCGTGGTGGAGGATTTTCATGTGCTGAATTCATATGGTTGTGCTACAAGGAGCGACACCGCACAATAAATTCGGTAGACGAATGGCAGCATCGACTTAACAACAGTGTTGGAAAAGCGCATCCAAATATTCATGAACTGCTTAAAATCCTTCAAGAAGAAATACGGAACTACGATATTATTGCGAAACAAACCGAGTTGAATATGAAGTCTTTACACATCACGACACGGTTTTATGTTCCCGCACTAAATGCGAGGCCAGCAACAAGCACAATCCGAAAATATAATAACAGAATACTGGGAAAAAAGAATATACTTGATATAACGGCACTACCATTTGTTATTAATGTAGAGAAAGGATCATTTTCTGGTAGTAGCATATCTAGTTTTGGCTCTGAAGATGAAAATATTTCATCGTAAATACAAACTAAATATGATTTATTTATATATTTACTCTTGGCAAATTATATTTTTTACGGTACATTTTTTAATATCCAATTTTTTTGGTATTGTTTTAATGTTTATTGCATTGATAGAGTTTTCGGACAATAGTATTTAATAAATTATCGTAATTTTTTCATGTAGGTTCGCCTACTTAAATATTCGAATATCATTAAGTAACACCCTCATCTATTATTACATAGAAAATATAAAAGCGAAAATATATAATTGATTAGATAGACATTTAGGGCGGAACAACATATGATGAAGAAGTGGAAGCAAATCAACAATCTATTTTATTCTGTCTGACATTTTATTCCCGACTATGCCATCACAAATCGTACCGACTATAGCTAGTTACCTACTCCTTTCAAAGTAAAATTTCTGTTTTTTTTTTTCTTTTGCTCCTAAAAATGGAAATTGGACCCTCTAGTCTATATCTCGAATATTTCTTGCTGGGCAAGGAAAATATATCAGTTTTTTTATTTTTAAACAATTTTCATTCTATTTATGGGTATGAAAAATCGTAAAAACTGGCGATGTGACCCGCTAAACCAGCTTGACTTGATACGAAATGACCTTAAAGCCCAGTAAGAAACCGCGTTCTCGGATAAGTATCGGGTGCAAAAAATCCAATACGATCATTTCCGAAACGCGGCTCACACGTCGTCTAAGTGATTGCCCGTCCAGAATATCGCCGCCGAGAATAACAGACACAAAAACTGTGAAATTCCCGTTCGCCCGCATCACCCGACCTATTTTTTTACTTCTCGCCCTTGTTATCTTTCGAAAATCCTTTCGATTAAACCCCCGCCGCGTTCCCCCCTCACCGTCGTAATCTCTTATCGTCCGAAAATCTGCTTAAAGGAGGCGCCGGGCGTCGCGATGCGTCCGCCAACAGACGACGTCTGGAACGCGCAGCGCCCCCGTTTCGCGGGCGTCGCGACGCTTCTCGTCCAGACGCCAGTAGTTGCCACGCTACTGGCGCGACACACGCACGCACCCTCATTCGTCTCGCACTCGGTATTAACCTAGGAACACACGTGACGGATTATTTGCCGCTTGACCGTTTTTTCCCGCATTTACATAGGGACTCATTTGGTTTGATGGGGGAGCCACTTTTGCTCCGTAGTGGATCGAAAAAATCACCCCCCCGCAATGGCACCATGCACTAATTTCAAATGGAACCATCGTAAAAAAGTTTTCGGCGCGAATGGTTTAGTGTTCACCACCCTACCTGTGATTCTCTCGACGTGTAAATAATTATTAAATATTAATATAAATGGAAGTTGCCCGTTAAACAAATAGTTGAAAATTATTAGTGTAATTTAATTAAGTTGTTAAGTGTACCTGTGATATTTTACTGACGCACTCTCGCCCGTTCTGAGGGATACCCACCGTCACCACCCACACCTTCGCACCCATCATCAGCGCGAGAAGACGCCATCGCCTAGAGGGGTTTGCTATAATCGTTTTTTCTCTTTTTTACTTAACAGGTAACTCGCACCAGAGGCAATGATGAAATATCCAGGGGGTCAATTACTGACGTTCGTGGTTCTGTTAGTATTGGGTCAAGTCTTCAGCAACGGTGAGTGTTGTTTTCTTTTTTAATTTTCACGGGCGATCCGGAATCTCGTGCCAATCGTTCACCGTTTCCGTTTCTAAAACGCGCGTTTCTAAGCATACTATAGAGATCTGGAAGCAGAATATGGAAAGTTTTTCTAAACTGCCTAAACAAATATTTTTAGATGTAACGTTGTAATTGCCGCGGTAGGAATTCCCGTTAATTTTATTTTTATTGAAAGAAAAATGATTAGAAAATTAATATGATGATTAGAAAATAATAGAAATCCAAAAATATTAAAAACTATTATTTTATGTTTTATAATTACTTATCTCCTAATTTTTATTTAATTGATCATGAAAATAAAATGTATTTACAAATGACGAAAATAATATAGTTTTAGAAGTTCATTTCAGATGATAACTAATGTTTCTGCAGCTCTAATATCTAAAATATCTTTCAAATTATCGAGATTTGAATTTGAATCATTTTTAGATTTTTCCATGTCTTTGGCAGCTAAATCTAAAAGAGTTTCTAAGTCGAAAGGTTTTAGTAACCCAATTACTATACTGCGCTATGGTCTGAATGCCCATAATTCGCTTTAAAATAGTTTTATTGCAAGAAACATTATTTGAAAACCTTTTAATTGTTTAAAACTAATAATACCAACGCAAATTAACAAAGTATGTTTTTAGGAGCTAAATCTAAAAATATTTCTCAGTCAATAGCTTTAAATTTTTGGTTAGTTTTAGTTATTTTATTTTAAAACTTCCTTTTCCAGAACAAAGGCTGGCACTGGAAATCAGATGATTTTAGGTATCTAGACTTCGACAAAATACATCTCAAAATTACCGACAGTTTTCAATTATTTTCTAACCATGCACCAAATATTTATAGATGAGTAACCAAGGGTATAACCTTACAAATAATGTTCCTCTATTAAAGCAGTACGTTTCAAAGTTCTCAAGATCAAGACAAGTCTTGTTTTCTGAAGAAATATCTATGTTTTCAAAAGCTCTTTTTGCAGTGTTAATTTCAATTCTGTAGCCGATGTCGAGCACGCATTCTAAAAACAGTGTAATCGACTACTTTCATATTGTAACGAGTCTCGATGGGGCGATTTTAAACCTTCATGAATGTTGAAGGCGTTGCTACACATGTGGGATGTCAAGCTACTTAAAATTTTGCCATTGATTAGCGTTAGGCACAATTTGCAAGTAATTTCTGGAGTATGGTTTCCAGCATTGCATTCCAGTGGTCTTAAAGTCTTAATCTGAAAGTCCAAATCTTGCTTTTTTTCTTGAGACGTGATTTTTTGTTTCTTCTCTGTGTATTTTATGCCGCCCACTAAATCGCGTAGATTGTAGTGCTGGGTTAACCCAAAGGACGTCATTTTTGGAACTTACCAACTGTAGAAGCAAATATGCTAAATTTGTGCTTATAATTAGAATGGTCACAAAGGCCGTCAGACCCATAACTACAAATAATGGTCGCTCTCATGTTTTTAAAAACTCAAATAAATATATAAGAACATTTGCTTGTAGTGGAACCAACGCAATTGTCTCCGAATCTTGAATCCCATTTCTTAGCTCTAATTCTGGTGTTTCTGTAATGACGTTGTGTAAAATTATTTTCTAACAAATAGGCTCACGAATCTTGTGGAGCATAAGGCACTGGATCTTGAAATATTTCTGGCGAAAAAAACGTGCGACCTATAGAAAAATTTTCTGCCTTGGTTTTAGCTAGAGCATTTGTATTTATGGTGTTTTGAAAGGAGAAGCCATTACAAGCCAACATTTGTATTTTTTTCCAAAAAAAATTCTGTTCACTTTTTTGCACCTTATCGAAATATTCGGAGACAAAAATCTAACTGAGATTCCGTTAGGGCTTTTAATGTTTTCTAATCTAAATTTAGTAAAACCTAAACTTTTTTGAACTTAACGTTTGGTTCTTTTTGCTAAACATTAAAAAATTCCTGATTTTATACAAAAAAATATAAAAGTTTAAAAATATTTAATTATATGCAATCTTAGGTACCACTATAAACTAGACACTTCAAAAATTATAATATCATCACTCACTTTGTAACACCTGTTTCCAGAGTTTCAGTAGCCCTAAAAAAACATGAAATATCAATAAAAATAATAGTAAAAAGCACCCTTTCTGGTAGTTATATTTCTAAAGAAACGAAGCGTGCTTAACAAGCATTTTCTTTCTAAATTGTTACACTTGCCTCCTACGTTAACAGTCAATATAAAATAAATTATATTCTTTAACTGTTTCTTGAAAAAAAAAAACTCCTTCGAACTAGAGAAAAAAATGTCTTATACGCACAAAAATAAAAACTCTGGTGACAGACACTAACCTTCAATTGTTTAAAAAGCAAACTCTATTTAATTTTTAGTCGATTCATTATCTCGGTGCAGGGATTATCAGCTGATATCATACGTGTCTTAAATGTTTTATTTAATACATTCAAAATTGAGACTTTCATCGCAAATTATTTCCATTTAGACCATCGTGCGTTTGTGGCAGAGAGAGTTTTTTTAAGAAGTTTTCGATTACGAGGAGAAGATGATAGTAGAAAAGGATTGGTTCTGAAATATCATTAACAGATAGAAAATACAGAGCAGCATTTCTTTCTCGATTAGGTTTACAATTTTTGGCTTCAGGTGTTTAATGTTCGCAGGCCTAATGTGTACATTTAAAATATCCATACCATGTATATCTTCAATAGTACCAGAAACAAAAAATAATCTTCCATCTGTTTCCGAAACACGTCCAGAACTGCAAACTTTGTTTCAGATGCAGTATTCCTGACAACGTCGTCAACCCAAAACTTTTCAAAATTGGCGTTTAAAAGTCTGACAAATATGAAAAAATACGTCATTAATACGTCATGTTCTGTTGCATTTGAATAAACTATAGGTTTCATAATATTTAATTCTGAAAATGCAAAGTCATACAAAATTATTAATATGTGAAAAGGAAATTTGACAACACTATCGAATTCAGAACTATCTCAATCTTCACTTCACAAGTCAATAATGGAACTTATTAAATATAACTAGCCATTGAACGCTTGTGGCTGAAATTTATAAAAATATCGGATATCTACAATAATGATCATTTTTTCAAAAATGAAGGCAATTTACTCTTGCATAAAATTCATATTTTATATTACATATTTCAGATCTGATATAGTAGTCAGATAGTGTAAGCATTTCGACATTTAGACCATGCAGAACTCTATATAAAACATAGCTTTTTTCACAAAAAAGTTTTGCGTATCGTTCCAACTTAATTGAACCCAATGTATGCCGCCGTGGCCAAATCAGAATGGTATATCTAAAAAATTTTGGTGTTGAGTTTTTATATCCCTGGATCCGTAGTTACGCAGGAGATCGTATGAAAACACCAGCTTTAACAAAATATCAGTAAAATGTGTTAGTAGTCATAACCAAAAGATGATGTAGATGATCTAAATCGACAAGGAAGGGCAATTCTTAAAGCCAGAAAGTGAGTTTCTAGGATGCTATCTGCGAAATCAAAAAGAAAAATAAGCTTTTTGTCCCAGAAAGAGGAATTTTAAGCTGATATCTGCAATTGTGATGCCGTTTTAGTTGCAGTATGTCACGGAAAAGTCAATTTTGACTGGAATCTAATAGGACCATAACTAACCAGGAAAGGCAACTATTTGATTTAAGAAGTGATTTTTTAAGTTGATATATGCACTTGAGATGCCGTTTTCGTAACGATATATCCAAATCCAAAAGAAAGCCCGACCATGTGCCCGATAAAGAGGGATTTTAAGTTGATATCTGCAACTTTATTTCAAATTTCGGTACAATAAGTGCCAAAAAAATCCAATTTTGCCTGGAATCTAATTGAAATCGACAAGGAGAAACAACTATTTGACCATTAAATTTTTTGCTCGTTATTTATAAAATTTCATTCAAATTTAGCTCATCTGTTCGATCACGATTAGTAATTTTAAAATTTATTATTCATGTAAAAGATATAGATTCCACACGATTAAGTACTTCGTAGTTCCAAACTTTTAACATTTTGTTTAAATCTCAAACTTAATTTTGTCGTTTGTTTTTCGAAATGTATTTTTGTAACCTCAAAAAAATGTTCGCGCAGTTTATTCAAATAATTTCCATTCTGCTTCTAAAATTTAACGGTTTCCGTTTTACAAGGGAAATTTAGCAACGGAAAGTGAACTTCTTGGCACAGGTTTCCGACGATCGCATGTTCGATGCCCGTTGGGCGAAAATGCACCCGAGATATACCAACAGCAATGGTCAATTAGACGTCCCGGCCGGATTATTCCGGGGCCCGGTGTCTCGAACGTTACTGCGAAATATAAATTTTAATGTGCCGGGCATACAGACACGCCAAACTGCCCCGCATAGAAAGATTTGCCCCCCCGGTAGCTAATTACGGCGCATTTCGTGCATTGTTTCCCTCATTCTTTTTCTCTTTTTTTTTTTCGTCTAGACCGCCCGCGGATTCTAACTAGTTTCACCGAGTGTACAATTTTTAATACTCAAAATTCAACATTTCAGCTGCTTATTTTGTGTTTTTAGCGATTTCTATCGTATATTTCATTAAAATATTTTTTTATTGCCGAAATTTGTAGTCGAACTCATAATACGCTTAATTCAATAATTGACAATTGAAACAAATCAGCGTCGAAGGTTTTATAATGTTTTATAGTTTATTTAGGAGCACATTCCAATAGCTTGTCATGCAAATACGAGCCATTAAATAAAATTGTCAAATCGCTTCATAAAAATTATCTGTTTGCCTGAACGGTATTTACATTTAAAACGTTCAAATAAATATTTAGATATTATTTGATAATTTCCGCCGGTCGTTATATGGAACGAAAAAGCCCGATACATATTCGACATATACTTCTGTTAAAATATACAGTGTGGTTCATGAATAGCGACCAAAAGAGGTGTAGGTTGCTAATTTTGGGGAATTTTACGCAATATCAATTTTATTCTCTTACC